AACGTTTCAACAACCTTCTGTCAGTACCTGATGATGACAGAACATTGTTGAAACATTATACATTTGCCGTTATGTTAAACTTATATTAAAGTTTTTCTTCATTACCTATTCAAGCCATCTCCAAGCATTATTAGTCTCAAAGCGGGTTCCTCATCATTGAAATCGAATTTACATGGAGTTATTTCTTTCCCTTCCATGGCTCTTTTCACCTGGACTGTGGATGACAAAATTCGACATCACAGATTCTTACCTTCATATCCAAATTGCAGAGTCTTTAAGGCATTATCTCTGTTTTGTGCAAGATAACCAGGTTTTTCAGTTTCATGCTTTACCATTCGGAGTTGTATCTGCTCCATACGTTTTTTGCTAGATAGTTGGAGCATTTTCACATCATCTTCACTCCCTCGTCATTCTCACGTACCATTACATGGATGACTGGCTTCTTCTCATCCTTTCTCACCATTTGGAAGAACTGCATGCTCAAACTCTGTTATAAGAAGCTGCGAGAACTGGGTTTCTTATCAAAAAAGAGAAGTATATTTTTATTCCCACACAGTACCTCATCCACTCAGGGGTGTTTTTTATTTCCAGACTAAGCCAGACCCAACCTTCTCCTCTATGCCTTCAGGCCATGGAATGGGCAGTTCTTCAAATAGTTTTTCCTTCTCCACCAGCATCCACAGTTCTATCTCTTTTGGGGATTTCAGCATCCTTGGAATCACTCATTCCTTTAGGTCAGGCCTACATGAGGGCCCTTCAATGGTTGTTAAAGGACCATTGGAACATTTGCACAGATGCACTGGATTGTCCAGTGAGACTGTCAGATTTCATTTTGATAGATCTAATCTGGTGGTTGAACAGGGTCAACACAACAGTAGTTGTCCCTCTTATACCTCCATGGCCAGAGTTACATCTCTTCACAGATGCTTCATATCAGGGCTGGGGTGCTTGTATAGACAATATGGAACTCAAGGGACTTTGGACAGTAGAGGAAGCTTCTCTCTACATCAGTCTCTCATTACTTTTAGCAGTTCAATGAGCTATGACTCAGGGTCTCGAATTGATGAGAGAGAAGGTGGTAATGCTTCATTCTAACAATTATACAGTAGTCTCTTACATTTGAAAGCAAGGGAGCACTCACTCCAGATCTCTTTGTTTTTGAACAGTGGATCTTCTCTTTTAGGCACATAAACACCAGATTTTTCTCTTTGCTTGTCATGTTCCAGGGGTAATGAATCTAGTAGCCGACCACTTATTTCGTCCCGATAGAGTTC